GTTGTTCAATTTCCACGCATATATATATTTTTGAGAGTTCCTCTTGGAATGGATTTCTAGTTTTAGTCCACTGTGGTCTGAGAAGATACATGATATTTTTAAAAATTTGCTGAGACTTGTTTTGTGGCCTCACATATGCTCTATCTTGGAAAATGTTTGATGTCCTGATGAGAATAATGTGTATTCTACAGTTTTTATGTAGAATATTCTGTAAATATTTTTAGGTCCATTTGTTCTAGAGTCCCATTTAAATCTAGTGTTTCTTTGTTGATTTTCTACTTTAATGATCTTTCTGTCAGTGGAATGTTGAAGTCTGCACTATTATTATTTCATTTCTTAGGTCTAGTAGTATTTGTTTTATGAATCTGGGAGCTCTGGTGTTAGGCGCATATATATTTAGGATTATTTATATCTTCTTGTTGAGTTGATCCCTTTATCAATATATAATGACCATCTTTGTCTTTTTTTTATTGTTGTGATTTAAAGTTTTTTTTATATGACGTAAGAATTGTTAGTCCTGCTCACTTTTGGTTTCCATTTGTGTGGAATATTTTTTTCTACCCCTTTACCTTGAGTCTATGAGACTCATTATAAGTGAAATGGGTTTCTTTTTTTTTTTTTGAGACAGAGTCTCGCTTTGTTGCCCGGGATAGAGTGAGTGCCGTGGCGTCAGCCTAGCTCACAGCAACCTCAGACTCCTGGGCTCAAGCAATCCTTCTGCCTCAGCCTCCCAAGTAGCTGGGACTACAGGCATGCGCCACCATGCCCGGCTAATTTTTTTTTCTATATATTTTTAGCTGTCCAATTAATTTCTTTCTATTTTTGGTAGAGACGGGGTCTCGCTCTTGCTCAGGCTGGCCTCAAACTCCTGAGCTCAAACAATCCGCCCGCCTCGGCCTCCCAGAGTGCTATGAGCCACCGCGCCCGGCCTGAAATGGGTTTCTTGGAGCCAGCAGATATTTGGGTTGTATGGTTTTTTTAAAAATACATTCTGTCAATCTATGTCTTTTAATAGTGGCATTTAGACAGTTTGCATTCACTGTTAAAATTGGCAAGTGAGATACTGTTGCAGTCATCCTATTGATTGTTACCTAGTTGCTTTGTGTTCTCCCTTGTGCTACTGTTTTATAAGTGCTTTTTACTTTTGAGTGTTTTTACACTGGTGAGTATCTACTGTTATTTTTAGTGTTTAGAGCACTTTTGAGCATTTCTTGTAGGATAGGCCTAATGGTGACAAATTCCTTTAGTGTTTACATCTCGGGGAAAGATTTTATTTCACCTTCATGTATGAAACTCAGTTTTTTAGGACACAAAATTTTTGACTCACAATTATTCTGTTTAAGAAGACTAAAGATGGAACTGAAATCCCTTCTGGCCTGTAAGGTTTCTGCTGAGAAGTCTACTGTTAGTGTCATGGGTTTTCCTTTGTAAATTACTTGATGGTTTTTTTCTTGCAGCTTGTACTAGTTTCTCTTTCACTTTGACTTTGGCCAGACTGATGACTAAGTGCCTTGGTGATGTCCTGTTTGCAGTGAAGCTTCCAGGAGTTTGCAGACCTTCTTCTTTTCGCTTGTCTTAATCTCTATCAAGAGAAGTTTTCCTCTATTGTTTTCTCAAATAGGTTTTCCATGCTTTGTGCATTTTCTTCTCTCTTAAGGATACCCATGATTCTTATATTTGGGTGTTTTACATGATCCCATATTTATCAGAGACTTTCTTCATTTCTCTTGATTGTCATTTCTTCATTTTTGACTGACTGTGTTAATTTGAAAGCCTTGTCCTCAAGCTCTGAAATTCTTTCTTCTGCTTTTGTGAAAATTTTCCATTGTACTTTGAAATTCCCTAAATGATTCTTTCATTTCCAGAAGGTTTGTTATTTTTTTAAAAAAACACTTACCTCTTAAGTGAATTTTTCATTCATGATGTGAATTTTTTTTTTGGCTTCTTTATGTTGGTTTTCAGCTTTCTCATCTATCCCATTGAGCTTACTTGTGATCCATATTTTGAATTCCATATGTGACATTTCAAAAATTTCCTTCATGTTGTAGTCCCACTGCAGGACAGCCCATGTTGTACACTGGGGATGTTGAAACAGCCTAGTTTTTCAGATTGCCAAAGTTCTTATGCTGGTTCCTTCTCATCTGGAGCCTCTTCCCTTAGTTCAAAACAGAGAGGGAGAAATACACTGCCTTTTGGCTCATGCAGGTAGGTGCCCACTGTGGTGTTGCTGGCAGTTAGGGTTGGTTGGACCTCATACCCCTGGGAGAATGTTCAGGTTCCAGTGGTGGTAGAATAGGCTAGGTAATCCCCAGTTGCCAGGCCCCTGGATGGCATGCTTGAATCCTGGGGGCAGCACACAGAGACTGGGATGGCAACTTTGCCCTCTGTCCTCCCTGAGTTCAGGCTCTGGCCATGATAGTGAGGGGTGGGGTGATCTCCTGATCTGGAAGAATGCTCAGGCAGGAGAGGGGCAGAAGCACTATGAACCTGAGACAGGATGGACAGGCACCTCTTGAGATTAGCAGAGATATAGGTAGCTATGTGTTGCATACACCATTCACACCTCCTTCTCTCAGCAGTGACAGTGGTCTCTGTCTTTCTGGGCCACAGAGGCACCTAGATTCCCAGCTCCCCTGCTGACCCAGCTGTAGCAGATGTGATGCACTCAGCTCAATCTGCTGTATGCAGGGTTACCAGGCTGGCTGTGGGGTGTGGGTGAAATGCTCTGGGGGGAAGGTGTGGTTGTGCCAGAGACTTGCCTCCAGGGAGGGTAGGCTCCTCCCAGAAGGGACTGGCAGTTCAGGGACAGGAGTGCTAGCTCCGCTCTCCCTCAGGGGAGGCAGTAGCTTTTGTCCTTGGGCACAGGAATGTACTTGCTATGGCCTTTTATAGGGAGTGGAGTGAGCCCCAAGCTCTGTGGAATCGTGGGTGTGATAGGCACTTTGTCAAAGACAGGGCAGCCCCTCTGAAGAGCTCTAGCTTAATCATTTCCTGTGGAACGTCACTGGTCCTGAGTGGAACCAGCCATTGCTGCCTGGGCAGCATGGACAGGGCAGGGAGGAAGGAGGAGACAGCCTCGAATGGTGTGGAGCTGATTCCCTGGTCCCCTTCGTTCTAAGGTGCTCTCTGGCATGCTGCACTCTCCTCTTGGCTGGAAGTGGCCCACTCTGAATGCCCAGGCTCGAGCACACCCACAGTACCCTCGGAACTCAGCAGCCCCCCAAGGCTGCTGCAGTCCAAGTGGGTGCTAGAGAGCACTGGCTGTGGATCCAGCCATATCAAGACCCAGGACGGGCTGAGATTCCCGGGTGGAGCCAGTTGCAAAAACACTGCCTGTCTGTGAAGGGAGGGCAATGACTTGCACCTTCTGTGTATAAGCCAGGCATAGTGGGCAGAGGACTGTTGGGCGTGCCACACTGCAAGCCTATAACCTGCCCTCCCACAGCTCACCCATACCGAAAACTCGTGCTTGGGAGCACAGGCGGCTATGTCTGCAGCATTGCGTGGTTGGAGGAGGGGAGGTTTGTGTCTTCATGTCCCTTTCCAGACTGCCCAACTTTCAACTTCCAAACCGGTCCCTTGCGCCTGTGACAGAGACGGTGGGATCCCTTCCAGGCACACTGTATACCTGTAATGCTGGAGGGAGTGCCGTCTACTCACAACTCAGTCCCACGGCAGCCTGTAGCAGGGTGGTGGGAAATATCCTAGGTGTGTGTAGGAGGGCTTGGGCTCCGACGTCCCTCCTCAGCCGGAGTTTAGCCCGAGGGCGGCGTGCTGCATGGCTTCAAACTCCTACAATGGCGCCTCCAGCCTGTAACCAGAGAGGGTGGGGCCCTTCGTGCTGGCAGGAAACTATAGGGCGTGCAGTTTGCTTGAGACTTGGTCCCACAGCAGCCAGCTGCAGGATAGTGGGCACTGTCCAGATGTGTGTTGGAAAGCCTGCTTTCCTTGCCCCTCTGCGGCCAGGTGGGGGCCGCAGCTGCATCAAGCCCGAGGGCGGGGCACTGCCGAGTGTCAAATTCCCCAAATGGCGCCTTGACCTGTGACCTAAAGGGGTGGGGCCTCACCTCAGCAGGCAGCATGGTGGGAAACTGTGGAAAATGCTGCCTTCTCACATCTCGGACTCAACGGGAGCCCACAGCAGGGCGGTAGGGACCTTCCCAGGGGCGCGTGGCAGCGCCTGGGACTCTCCATCCCTCCTCGCAGCTGCGCGCGCAGTCACGCCAGTGCTTCCCCGGTATTTGGCTCTCAGAATGGCGCCCGGCTCAAGCTGCTCTAGGCGTGGACGCCTGTGGGATCTGCGTGGGTTCCCTTTCTGGAATAATGTCTCTGCAAAGTCTCCAAGTAGCTCCCTACGTTAGGCCTGCGACCTGCATGGGTCCGGAGGTTCTTTTGTAACCAAGATCGTGAAAGCTTGTCTTGGAGAGTAGACAAGCTTGGAGATTCCCTGGGGGCTGCTTCTTACTCTTTCATTGTTTCCAGAAGCTTCTCCCAGCTGTTAGCCAGCCCCTGGCCGGGCAAGGTGCCCTGAACCCTGTCGTTACCCGCTTTTGGTGCTTCCTGTCACCTCCCGGGTGAATCCTAGTGGTCTCTCCTAGATTATCTGTTTGAAATGTGAGAATCTGCTCACTATTCTGGTTCTTCTCCATGGAGGAGGCACATGCTACCTGTGCCTAGTCGACCATTGTGATCCAACTTCTCTGTTTCTTGTCCACACAGTCTTAGCAATAATCCTTACTATAGGTGACCACAGGATTTATAGTGCAATATGCATCGGATTAAGCACTCAGTAAGTGGCAGCTGTTGTTATCTGTGATTTAAAAAATGTATTAAATGTGAGCAGTAGTGACAGTGTATCTTGATGACTTAGAAGCTCGTAGTAGAGAGCTGACGAGTACTCTCACTTTTTCTGTGAAGGAACCCAGAGCGTATTAAGGTAAACTGGGTCTGGATGCTGGATGATGGTGACGCTGCTAATGGCTTTCTCTCTTTCTGTGCAGAATGTCCCCCCAGACCTCTCCATCTGCACCTTCGTGCTGGAACAGTCCCTCTCTGTCCGGGCCCTGCAGGAGATGCTGGCTAACACGGTGGAGAAATCGGAAGGGGCAAGTACCCAATTTCTGTAGACTTGCAGTGTTTTAATGAATTCAGCTACTGTATGAACAATTTCTTTCACAGGTGTTGGAGATTTTCTTTTTGCTGAAATAAGTGAATGCTTTTTACTTGTGATTTCCTTAGGTTTGACTTCCCGCTTTATCCAGCACATCTGTGATGTCTTAAAAACTTTTAAAAAAATATCCAAACTTGATATGATCTGTGTTACTAAGCCTCATGCTTACGCCTGTGGTTTAAAGCAGACTTTTCTTTGAGCATTTGTGTGTCTCCTTCCGTTTTCTGATCTGTTATGTTACTATTTTACCTTATTGCTTTATGCATGGCTATGTGTCATTGACCTTTATTTCATTTTCAAATGCCTCTAACCATGTGACTGTGTCCTATGCTTCTTTATGGCAAGTAAAATTTCATGGCACTGTTACATATTTTAAGTAACAAAATTACGGTGATATGGATTTAGTCAATTGTAACTTTGCAAACAGCTGATCATTTTCTTCTGAAAACTGAAATTCTTATGCCGTCTCTTAATGCAGGTATTTTTCTTTGACAGCCTATTTGGTTATTTTAATTATTTTCCCTGAGACTTGCTAGGACTGACTTCTGGGCTGTTACCCATTTTTAACCATGAAAGTTTAGAATTAAACAGGAGGATGAATGGTCAAATTTGTGTTTCCTGGTGGGTTTCTTTTCTTTTCTTTTTTCTTTTTTAGTACTGTGATTACTGCAGTGTATGATTTAATAAACTGTAGTATTTCCAGGAATAAAACTGAAAATTTTCTTTTGCCATTATTGATCTATATATTCCTATTTTTGTTAATCATTGTTCCAGTCTAGATAAGTAAAGAGATTAAAAAATTATAATGCATGAGTGGGTATCCATAGAAATGAATGATCAGTTATGATGTAACATTATTTTCATCAGTCTTGTAGTTTTTTAAACTTTAGTGTCATGCAGCTTAGGACTTTAATTGGTTTGTGCATTGATCTAAATCTAATTTGATTTAAATTTTTAACAGTATACTATGAAGTGTGGAGGAGAAAGTTTGTGAATTTTATTTGATATTAGACTAAAAGGTTATTTTATAAAAGTTCCAAATATGTTGTATTTTAATTTTCGAAGTTCATTTTTGGTTGTATCAAAGTTCGAAATTACTATATTCAAATACATAAAGTCTTTTTAAAAATTTTTATTCTTTTATGCAAAATGTTTAGGGTAGTCTTAAGTTAAGAAAGAGTAAAAAAGTTTGTTAATTCAGTTAGCTTAGTTTCTATCTGAAATAGTCTCTCCTGATTTTTAAACATCACTGAGTCATATCAACTTTGAAATGCAGATCTGTCTTTAGAAAGAAAAATCATTTTTCTTTTACATTAGCATTTAGAAAAATACATATTTCTATTTCATCTATCTTTGTAGATACCGTCTTAGAACTATATTGCCATAAATTTAGTTTTTCTGTTGCTAAGCTGCTTTTTCTAAATTTAACAACTTTGGAAAGATCTTTTATCTCCTTCAAATCATGAGGTTGGACTAAGCAAGCTCTAAAGTTTCTGAAGTTTCTGTGCATACAGGAAGTAATTTGAAATGCTGTTTTAGGATTTATGTTTTTAAAATATTAGGTAGACATTCTGGACCCCTCAAACATTTTCATTTAGCTGAATTTAGTTTTGAATTTTTCTCTGTCTAGAAAGTTTCTGTCAGAGATAAAGTAGTAATTTATGTGAGATGTGGAACACCATTTTATAAAGCCAAGAATGGCTGCCATAAGACATTAATTAGGAAATATAATTTGAGAAAAATCTGCTGTAGGAAAGAAATATATTTCGTGGAGCTGAATCTCACTTTTAGCTACTGGTCACTTTTAGAAAGAAACCGCTGTCAAATAGCTCAACAGGGTACTGTATTTTAGGGGAAAAAAATTTTCTCTATTAGACTGCTGAGTAGTTTTGATTATACCCAGGAGTGATATTCAAAATATTTAATAGCTAGTTTGCCTCAGGTACGAGTTAATCAGAGTAGCCCCCAGCCACAGTGCCGGAGGAAGGGTCCTGGAGATCTCTGTTTTATACTTATGGATTTGGGGGTGGCCTGCATGATTTCAGGGGTATCTGGGAGGACAGTATCTCGGACGGTTAGGGAGCACTCTAGTGACTTGGGGCAGCCACTGTTTACCAAGAGGGATAGATGTTTTCCACCTTAACGACCATTTTGGTCATAAGAGTGCATGCTGGCTAAATAGCACGTCTGATTATATGTGATCCGTGGATGTTGCTGGCACTTGGAGGAATCAAGTCTTTGGACTCCAAGGGTCTCCATATCATCTTTTCTAGTGTCTTATAATATGTCCTTTAAACCCATTGTGGAACTCTAATGGCAAATCATTTTGTCAAGCAAATTGTTACCTCCAACTTAATAAATCATATACAGTAGATTTCCTTAAACAAAGATCCACTTTTCCCGGCATGAAGTGTGTCAGCAAGGTAGTGCTAGTTTTCGTGAGATCATTTCTTTCTTTTCCAATTAGCAGTGTATCAAAAAGAACAGTGTGTACTACCTGATCTCCTACTCTTTCATAATCATCTTTCTTTGCAAAGCCTTGTTATTTTTAAAATAATTCTTCCTGAATTCCTTGTGTAATTCAGTAAATTGAATGGACTATTTAATGTCCAAAATGCTGCCCTATGCACATAGCAACACAGCATACTTGGTAATAAGGAAAAGTTTTCCATTTAGAACCATGCCTTTGCTTTTTGTGGTTAAGGACCACTTTGCTCATATTCTTGGGTCCATGAATAAATGCATGGTTTTCATAAAGGTGAAGGAAACCTACTAGGAAGTTCCTAACATTATTTGTGACAAAGAAAAGTATGAAAATTATTAGTAACAAAAGAAGAGGTATGTAACATGAAACAGGAAAAATATTACCTAATTTTTGAAGTTTTGGTTCCCTAAGGAGTTGCTTATTGTGACTGTTAGTAAAATAACTAATATTTTTGTGGCACCGAAAGCGTTCTGAAGGATTTCATATAAAGGGATTTTTTTTATTTATTTATTTTTTATTTCAGCATATTATGGGGGTATAGATGATTAGGTTACGTATGATGCCCTTGCCCTCCCTCTCCCCCAAGTCCGAGCTTCAAGTGTGTCCATTCCCCCGGAGGTGCGCATCGCACTCGTGGTTTGTGTGTATGACTGTCCCCTCCTCCCCCCGCCCCCTCCCCCTGCCCAGCATCTAATACATGTTATTCTTGTATGTGCACTTAAATGTTGATCAGCTAATACTAATTTGATGGTGAGTACATGTGGTGCTTGTTTTTCCATTCTTGGGATACCTCGCTTAGTAGAATGTGTTCCAGCGCTTTCCAGGAGTATACAAGAGGTGCTATATCACCATTGTTTCTTAAAGCTGAATAGTACTCCATGGTATACATATACCACAGTTTATTAATCCACTCATGTATTGATGGACACTTGGGTTGTTTCCACATCTTTGCAATTGTGAATTGTGCTGCTATGAAATTTGAGTGCAGATGTCCTTTTCATATAAAGGGATTTTTAAAAATATTTATTTAATAAAAATAGTGAGAGATCTAGATGTGATATCTACGTAACTGCATCGAATGTCATTTAGCTTTATTCTTATTTAAAGCATGTCAGTAGTAAGTAAGCCAAGACCTGTGTATGTTTATCTTAGTAACTGCTCATAGAACCTTTAAGATCTTGAGGATGGAGACAATACACATGCAACAAAACGAGAAAATGTCATTTGGAACAGTGCCCATCTCTTTGGCCCAGTTGTGCCTGGATTTCTGTATATGCCCATCTTTGCTTCTGTTATTCCTTCTGTTCTCCCCCTGAGTTTTATGTATTTCTGGATAACTTGTCTACTTCTGAATCTTTCTCTATATATCTCTTCTTGCTCTTTAGATTTGTTTTGCATCCTGGTGATAACAGTGTGGGGTTAAAAGCAGAGCCTTTGTTGTCTTAGAGAACTGTTAGAGAATATTAGTTCTGCCATGTGTTAGCTCTGTGGCTTTGGGGAAGGTAATTCTTTATCATTGAATTTTGGTTATTATTAAATGATAGTGTATGTAGAATATTTAGCACAATGTAAGCACATGGCTTACAGTGGTTATTACTGTTGTTTTATTTATTCTTATACTTGCATATTCCCGTTGTTGGAATGTTACTAATTCTTGACTTCCTTCTCTCTGGCCTGATGACCTCCTTCCTCTGGGATCTGGGCTAGTCCAATTCCCTCTCCTTCCCCTTATTATCCCAACTGGTTCTGGCATGTGGAGTTTGCCCGTTTAATCATGACATGACTGTGTTAAAATACAGAGTCAATAATAGCATTTGGTTACTATGTGTTTTATAGTTAATAAAATTTAGTAATTTAAGTGATCATGTACTTTTGGCTCTTTATTTTATCTTAATTAATTCACAGAACATTTTGATGAACACTTTCCTTCATAAAATTTTATTTTTTACTATCTAGTGTAATTTAGATATTCCATTTTACGTGAGCACAGATGTCAAGCGAGAGGTGACATAGTGTAGTGGAAAGAGCTTTGGTTTTAGAGTCCATGAAATTTATTGAAAATAATACTTTTTCAAATAATATTTATAATATTTACCATTTATTGAAAAGGAATTGCTTTTGTTTAATGCCATGAGTGCAATACATGGCTTGTATATTCTATTTAGGCAAGTATATTTTGAAGATACAACATTGACGTGACTTTCTGTCTTTTGGTTCAGTTGTTTCTGGGAGAATTGTAGGACCCTGTCCCTTTCAGCTTTGGCATATGATCTCTTGACTGTTGGTCCCTTTGTCTTTAGAGTATTGTAGCTTGAACCAGGAAAAATAAAATAAAATTAACAAATATTTGCTCCTTACATCCTGTTCTTTGATGGGGGAGTAGGTTGAAATTTATAGTTTAGTGATTGGGATTTGTATTATTCATTCATTTCAATTTATGTCCTACGTATTCCT